CACAACGCTCAGGATGTACAGCAACTGTGGTAGGCTTCACAGTAGGAGGGTAGCGCCCCACTACCCTCACGTTATATAGGAACTCTTGGTTTCGCAGCAAGAGAGTTGTGCCCCGTCGACACGGCAGTGGTGGGTCCTCCGCCGTGAATGACTGTAGGAGACTAGAGGGCTGTGGTAGGTTGGTGGTCTGTGGGAGTCGGTGAGCTGTGGGTGGGCCGGGGAACTGTGGGGCGCCTGTTGTGGCGGTGGACTGTGAGGATTACGTACAACAGAAGGTGCCCGTAGAATAAAGATGATCAAGCAATGTTTTCACAAGAGGCATAGACAGTCTTCTCCGAGGTCACAACCTGTAGGGAACCTGTAACCTCTCAAGAGTCCTTACTGCTAGTGTTACCAGATAAACATTTTTAGCAAAAGTGAATGCAGACTAACATGTAAGTAACCATACACAGTTTACATGAACAACTCATTACGATTATGACCGGATATAAACATGTAAAGGGTTCATTACCTTAGTAGCTTGTCCAGCTATCAAAATTTGTGGCCCAGTCCCTGGAACCATTGTGTACCTTTGTAATCCTTCGACTACCGCCCACAGGATAGGTATGCGGTGCATAAGAAAGTTGTTTAACTGCTGACAGACTGTCTGGCTGACTGTGTTCCCTCGTCTCAAGCTTTGAAAATGTACTTATATAATGTGGATTTCCTTCATGGATGTTGATTATTATTTTCCCAGATTTAGATTTTAATGAGCATTATTATTGACTGATAACATTATTATATGCATTAAATAAAAATAAACTGAGGTTCTTACTTGTTTCATTTATTTAATTTGGAGAATTTACGTTCATTAAATGTTGTTGGAATTAACAAATATACATTACTGTGTATAAATATATTTGAGCAGGTAAAAAAATGAATGAAAAAAAAATATTTTTTGTGATTTAGGATTTAGGATTAAATAAATTCACCTTTTTTATGACTTTTAGAGGGTGCAGACGTGTTCGAAAACTGTTCTTATTCTTTATATACGTATGACGCTGTATGAGCCTTGTTTTGATTGTAATAATAATAACAACAGTGTGAATGTGAGCCAAATGTGGCCTTGTAGCAAAGTGCACAAGTCTTCAAAATTACGAGGCTAAATCCCCCACTGTGTGGCGAACCTAACCTAACACCGCTGTCATCTTGCTGCCACTGTGAGTCCTACATCCTCGTCAACACACAGGAGCGTGGTTGGCAAACTACCCCTCCCCTCCCCTCATCAAGCAACACCTGGACAAATAAGTTACCAACACTGCCCACTATCTAGCTCAGTTCAGCAAGGATACGTGGGTCGAGAGACAATGGTACTACCTTGAAATAACCACATCATCTCACACACTGGCAAGAGCACAGCTCCCTGGCAACACTGATCCATGTATATTACACTCACCAAAGTAATAATAACTAAAATCTAAATATATTTGCCAAAGGAGGAAAAAGTAAATCTGTGTCGCCACATTTTTGACGAAATCTAACTTGCAGATTTTTTTTTTTACTAAACTTTTGAAATCACAAAGACTAGTCTTGACGCCCTAGTCTTCGTGATTTCAAAAGTTTAGTGAAAAAAATATTCAAGTTAGATTTCCTCAGAAATGTGGCGACACAGATTTACTTTTTCTCCCTTTGATGAATATATTTAGATTTTTAGTTATTATTACTTTGGTGAGTGTAATATACATGGATCAGTGTTCAGTACCGTGGAGAACCTTTGCAGAGAAGGAAAGTGTGAGAATAAGGAGTGCCTAAATAGATAGCTTGACATAATCGTGTGAGTGTCTCAAGGTGGTGTAGTGGCACTCTGTGTTTAATGTTTTTAGGGAAGAAACAAGACACGAGATGGAAGTGACACTTCATGAATGTGTGAGAAGCTCAGCTGAGCGTTTTTGTTTCCTGTTGATGCTTCTGGGGGTCATCGCCCCCGCGGCCTCCTTGTTGACATACTAGAGTTGTAACTGAGGTTGTTGTGCCTGCAACATGCACTCCTACGTGCCTGCAACATGCACTCCTACGTGCCTGTAACATGCACTCCTACGTGCTGCAACATGCACTCCTACGTGCCTGTAACATGCACTCCTACGTGCCTGCAACATGCACTCCTACGTGCCTGCAACATGCACTCCTACGTGCCTGCAACATGCACTCCTACCTGCTGCAACATGCATCCTACGTCCTGCATACCCTAGGCCTGCAACATGGACTCCTACGTGTCTGCAACATGCCTCCTACCTGCCTGCAACATGTAGTCCTACGTGCCTGCAACATGCACTCTTACGTGCCTGCAACATGCAGTCCTACGTGGCCTCTACACAGCCAGCTAGGCTGAGAAAAAGTGATGCAATCTATTACAGTTATCTTACATGCTGTTCATGCAGTAAAAACAATAATAGTTGAAACGCTAAACCTGTGTGGGTCATTCAACACAAGGCAGAGTGGGCGCTAGATCCTCCGGCTCTTCAACGTGAGAGGCTATTCTGGCAGCCAGGCTTCCTCTACTCTTCTTCTTGCAGCGAACCTACAGTTATTTCCATCTTTCCTCGGAGTTGTCTACCTCACTCTCCATCAGTGTTTGCAAAGTGATCAGTTTGTTCAACTAAACAGTTGTTCATAGTTATTAGCAAGCCTGAACATCAGTCCAAACCATACCCCGGCCGGGATTGAACCCGCGGTCAGAGAGTCTCAAAACTCCAGCCCGTTGCGTTAGCCACTAGACCAGCTAGCCACAATAAGATTCGTCCAACTAGGTATATTTCTACACCATAGAAGGTTAGCACAGGCACCACTGTGACCACAAATCAGTGTTACGCAGGTTTAGCACGTTCAGTTTGACCAAGTATATATAGTTGTGAAGTGCGCAGGGAAGGAGTTTGAGTTTAAAAAGATAAGCATATTTGTTACAAAAGTATTTTGGATCTTACAAAAATTCTGTTATCGAGATTATGTTAATATGTTAATATTTCCAACCAGGTTGTTGCTGTTGTACTTAATCAGTTGATGCTATGCTACTAAGAGCGCTATTCTTGAAAGTCAGTTACTATGCTGGACACAGGTGTTGGAAAGGTACCAGGCTGTTACCCAAATCGTTTTTTTTTTTTTTCTCCAAGAGTCTCAGTTAGGCTGCAGACTATTATGAACAGCAGTAATTGCTGTCTTTTTTTTATTCCTTTTGACATTTATCATTGCACGAATGGCAAACGATATTGATAAGCTGATATATAAAACAGGTGTGCAACACCTGTTTTGTTTGCACCGCAAGCTTTTCCAGTCTAATACCGAGGCGACAACATTTGACATTGTTCAAATACTTTCTTTGAGCAGAAATCTACACGTTCTCATACGCTAAATTGCAAGGCTGAAGGGTGCTCCAGCAGATGCTCTGTAGTTCACTGAAACGTCATCAGATGTCGTTTCTGTTACATAAAATCAAGAGAAACCAGAAGCCCCTCACTGTGGGGTATGAGAGATCGCATGCGGCCTGAAGTCTGACACTGGTGAGGAGAGTCCCGGGGACCGACCTAGGTATCTCAGACGAGAGTCTGACGGATCAATCTCCTAGTACCCATTGAACAAATTAATACATTCACAAGATTATGAATTGTTTACCACCAAGTCTGCGTTTATCTTGGGTTGTCACGAGTTAACGAGTTAGGGATCACCTGCAGCTTCTGAATGACGGTGATGAAGCTGCTAGACACTCACACGCTGACACTAAGATGAACACATTAGCATATCACAGAGGCGGGGTTAGAACGGCGGAATAATGTATTAGTTTGCTTGTCTGTTTTCATGTTAACTGATGTGCTTGTTCAGTATATGTAACTGGAATTACGGGAGGGTGTGGGAGGCTCTAACACAAATGTGAGCGAGGACTAGACGACGAGGCAGACGTGATGTTAACGTGGCCTGAGCATGTTTTGCTCAGGCTGGTTTACACATCTCCCCAGAAACACGTCAGCTCAGACACTCCTCTCCGCACACACGTCTCCTCAGACAACCGTCTCCTCAGACAACCGTCTCCTCAGACAACCGTCTCCTCAGACAACCGTCTCCTCAGACAACCGTCTCCTCAGACAACCGTCTCCTTAAACACTGATGAAGGTGACTATCAGTCACACACACACATGCAGTAAGACTACCGTGCTAATGTTTTCCCAGCTATAAGCAAACACGCTGTAATACATTACTCTGTGCTGCAATCCTCATGCATTTAATTATAAATCTATTTCAATACTTAGTGAATACGTTGTATTATTCTACCATTTGCATGTAGTTATATATATATTATTTTGTAAGTCGCTTACCACTTCCATCGCAGCTAGATTTTACAAGCTAGCACACTGTTTTACAAGCTAGCACACTGTTTTACAAGCTAGCACACTGTTTTACAAGCTAGCACACTGTTTTACAAGCTAGTACACTGTTTTACAAGCTAGCACACTGTTTTACAAGCTAGCACACTGTTTTACAAGCTAGTACACTGTTTTACAAGCTAGCACACTGTTTTACAAGCTAGCACACTGTTTTACAAGCTAGTACACTGTTTTACAAGCTAGCACACTGTTTTACAAGCTAGCACACTGTTTTACAAGCTAGTACACTGTTTTACAAGCTAGCACACTGTTTTACAAGTTAGCACACTGTTTTACAAGCTAGCACACTGTTTTACAAGCTAGCACATTATTTTACAAGCTAGCACACTGTTTTACAAGCTAGCACACTGTTTTACAAGCTAGCACACTGTTTTACAAGCTAGCACACTGTTTTACAAGCTAGCACACTGTTTTACAAGCTAGCACACTATTTTACAAGCTAACACACTGTTTTACAAGCTAGCACACTGTTTTACAAGCTAGCACACTGTTTTACAAGCTAGCACACTATTTTACAAGCTAACAGGTTGGGGACGCCTGTTTTAGGCCGTTCTGATAGCACTGTTAAGCCTTTTCTCTCTTGTACAGGACATGAGTCGACGCAGGCGTCCGTGATGGTGGGAGTGCCTGGCGGTGTATCTGGTGGAGGCGTGGGCGTGGGAGTGGGTGTGGCTGGTGATGCTGTTGGTGGAGGAGAGGGAGAGGACCTGAGACGTGCAGCTGCCCAGGGAGACACCAAGAAGCTACTGCACCTTCTGGAGGAGGGAGCCTCCATCAACCTAAGTGATGAGGTAGATCCTGCACCTGTGCATGTCTCCACACCTCACCTAACTGTTTCTGTTAGCAGTAGACTACTGCCACACCTCACCTAGTGACTTCCTAGTAGTTTTCTTTCTTCTTTTTATATTACTTACAGGTTTGCCTTCTCGTCTTAACTGTCTTGGGGACGGTGTGACTATTACTGATCAGTACATATCTTAGTTTTTCTTTCACTACTTGTGTGTGTATATGTGTGTGTGTGTGTGGTGTTTATTAGTGTGTGGTGTAGTTGTATGTAACCACCAATAAGGAGTACATACACTCACACACAAAACACACAGGTATTGAGAAAGCGTGTGTTAGAATCCTCATGTGAGCACATACTGTGAAGGTTTGTGTGAGTATATATTTCTCTCATTGAATGCTAGTTGCACAACCTGTTGTGATGCAATATTTTTGTTGATCCCACCTGTTTCTAGAGCTTGTTCGACCTTTGTTAATGTGTAGACTCGTAAAGGTTCCTTGGAATTTTGTCTAATCTCCTGTGTTATTGTGTGGACTCGTATAGGTTCCTTGGAATCTTGTCTAACCTCCTGTGTTATTGTGTAGACTCGTAGAGGCTCATTGAGGGCTCGTTAGACCTTTTTTGTTGTAGAAGTTCCTTGAGAGTTTGTTAGACATATGTTAATGTGTAAACTTATAGAGGTTCCTTGAATCTTGTCTAACCTCCTATGTTAATGTGTAGACTCGTAGGCTCATTGAGAGCTTTTCTTAACTTAAGACGTAAGTATTCGTGGAAACTCTTAGAGGTTCCTTGATTTTCAGTGTTTTACGAATGTGTAATTACCATCTCTTGTGACTTTGTTACCTCCAGGTTTCTTAATTAAGGCGATACTAGAGATCATCTCGTCGTAATTTCATTACTGGCTCATTGTTAGGCATTACAGAGTGCGCTAAAGATGTTATTACAGGCTGTTGAACGTCACTTATGTCATCCGATACTTCATATTAAGGAGCGTAACGTAATAATTGAACTGAGAGTGTAAGCTAATTATTGTGGGATAATTGATCATGGCTCGTCTGGGTCGCTTGAGTGGATGAGTTGAGTGGATCAGTGACGGCCTTCATCATCAAACCGTCCTCAAAGTAGAATGTTAGTATCTAGGCGAGCTAAGCCAAGATCAGAATTGTGTATTAGTTGAGGTTAAATTAGGTAAGTTATTTTGATTTGGATTTAATTGATCTAAATTTTCTAAATTAACGTCTGACAGCAATTGGTATATCATTAGCAACAATACGGTTATACACTGCATGTATGTGTGTGTGGCTGAGTGTATGAGTTGCGTGTATGACTACATGTGTGGCTGAGTGCATGAGTTGCGTGTAAAACTGTTTTATGACACGTGTTGGTACGTGTATGCTTATAGATCTATCATGTGTCGCCAGCTGATTTTTATTTACGTCATCAGCTGATTGCATGGTATTATTAGTTACATCATCAACTGGTTAAGTGGAACGATTATTTATGTAACCATTCTATTTTCTTATTCTCAGTCAGTGTCAGCGTTTCACTCTGCTGTCTCTGTCCACCGTATCAGTTCCTCTGAGTATCTTGTACGTCGTGGTCATGTCTACTCTGGCCTTTTTAATTCTAGTGATGTGTGTGTATGTGCTTGGTCGTGAGAACTTGTGTAAAAACGAGGGAGTAGAAGTAATGATATGATCACAAGATTAATCAGAAGCCTCAACGAGAACCTGTTAAGAGGATATGAGTGTGTGGGAAAGGAGCGTTGAGGACCTGTTTCTTGACCTGTAGTGACACCTGTAGTGACACCTGTAGTGACACCTGTAGTGACACCTGTAGTGATACCTGTAGTGACACCTGTAGTAACACCTCCAGGAGTCTAGAGTTTGATCTATATTAACATCTCTTGCTTTAACCTCTAGTGTCACCGATTTCTTGACCTGTAGTTGCGCCATTACACTGACCTGTAGTGACCTGTCCTGCCAACAATATCCTCAGTCATGTAGCTCGCGTAGAGAACACGTTGGTGCTTAACTTTTAACATAATTCTGCCTAACCATCTTCTCAACACACAAATATGTTAATTATGTATATATATATATATATATATATATATATGTCGTGCCGAATATGTAAAACTGGGCAATTAGCAAGAACTCATTTAAAATTAAGTCCTTTCTAAAATTTTCTCTTATACGTTTAAAGATATATTTTTTTCATTAATGTTAATGTAAAAAAAATTAATTTTGCACCAAAAGAATCTTAGAAAACTTACCTAACCTTATTATAACAAGAACAATTTATTTTAGCCTAACCAACTAAATATATTTTAGATTTGTTTACAATAATTTAATACTAACAAACACGTGAAATATATTTTTTTCGTTAGGTTCAGAATGATTTTGGCGAAATTATTGCATACACAAATTTTCACTTGTCCTATATGGCAAGATGAACGTTGCTATTTAAGCCAAGATCGCAAATTCTGCTATTCGGCACGACATATATATATATATATATATATATATATATATATATATATATATATATATATATATATATATGTGTTGTGTGTGTGTGTGTGTGGTGTGTGTGTGTGTGTGTGTGTGTGTGTGTGTGTGTAAAAAATTTCAAAATACATATGTGTAAATAAAACAGAATTTGAATGAATGAGAATAAAACTTTTTTTGTAATTAGTGACGTTGAGTGTACCTGGTAAAGTGTATGGTAGAGTTATATTGAAAGAATTAAGAGTAAGACGGAAATAGGATAGCAGATGAACAAGGAGGCTTTAGGAAAGGTAGGGGTGTGTGACCAGGTGTTTACAGTGAAACATATAAGTGAACAGTATTTAGATAAGGCTAAAGAGGTCTTTGTGGCATTTATGGATTTGGAAAAGGCGTATGACAGGGTGGATAGGGGGCAATGTGGCAGATGTTGCAGTGTATGGTGTAGGAGGTAGGTTACTGAAAGCAGTGAAGAGTTTTTACGAGGATAGTGAGGCTCAAGTTAGAGTATGTAGAAAGAGGAAATTTTTTCCCAGTAAAAGTAGGCCTTAGACAAGGATGTGTGATGTCACCGTGGTTGTTTAATATATTTATAGATGGGGTTGTAAGAGAAGTAAATGCGAGGTCTTGGCAAGAGGCGTGGAGTTAAAAGATAAAGGAATCACACACAAAGTGGAGTTGTCACGCTGCTCTTTGCTGATACACTGTGCTCTTGGGAGATTCTGAAGAGAAGGTTGCAAGATTGGTGGATGAATTGGTAGGGTGTGCAAAAGAAGAAAATTAAAGGTGAATCAGGAAATAGTAAGGTTATGAGGATAAACAAAAAGATTAGGTGTTGACAAGATTGAATATCAATTGGAGGAAGATATGAGAGTGAACGTATCAGTATATTTGGGATGGACGTGTCAGCGGAGGGTCTATAAAGATGAGTGAATCATAGAATTGATGAGGAAAAAGAGTGAGTGGTGCACTTAGGAGTCTGTGAGACAAGAACTTGTCCTTGAGGCAAAGAGTGGAATGTATGAGAGTATAGTTTTACCAACCTCTTATATGGTGTGAACGTGGGTGATGAATGTTGCAGCGAGGAGAGGCTGGAGGCAGTGGAGATGTCGTGTCTGAGGGCATGTGTGGTGTGAATATAATGCAGAAATTCGTAGTTTGGAAGTTAGGAGGAGGTGTGGGATTACCAAAACTGTTGTCCAGAGGGCTGAGGAAGGTTGTTGAGGTGTGTCGGGACATGTAAGAAATGGAGCGAAACAGAATGACTTCAAGAGTGTATCAGTCTGTAGTGGAAGGAAGCGGGTAGGTCGGCCTAGGAAGGGTTGGAGGGAGGGGTAAAGAGGTTTTGTGTGCGAGGGCTTGGACTTCAGCAGCATGTGTGAGCGTGTTTGATAGGAGTGAATGGAGACAAATGGTTTTTAATACTTGACGTGCTGTTGGAGTGTGAGCAAAGTAACATTTATGAAGGGATTCAGGGAAACCGGCAGGCCGGACTTGAGTCCTGGAGATGGGAAGTACAGTGCCTGCACTCTGAAGGAGGGGTGTTAATGTTGCAGTTTAAAAACTGTAGTGTAAAGCACCCTTCTGGCAAGACAGTGATGGAGTGAATGATGGTGAAAGTTTTTCTTTTTCGGGCCACCCTGCCTTGGTGGGAATCGGCCAGTGTGATAATAATAATAGTGACGTTGGTAGGGCCACAGGTGTGCTGTTTAGCGCCAGGTGACCTGGCTAGCACAGGTGACCTGGCTAGCACAGGTGACCTGGCTAGCACAGGTGACCTGGCTAGCACAGGTGACCTGGCTAGCACAGGTGACCTGGCTACCCACAGGTGACCTGGCTAGCACAGGGACCTGGCTAGCACAGGTGACCTTGTGTTTATTGTACTCCAGACGAACCTTCAACACACTTCACTTTTTTCTCTCTTCTTCCTCTTCCTCTTCGTATTCTTACTCTTCTTTTTCCAAATCTCTCTCTCTCTCTCTCTCTCTCTCTCTCTCTCTCTCTCCTCTCTCTCTCTCTCTCTTCTCCCCTCTTCTCTCTCTCTCTCTCTCTCTCTCTCTCTCTCTCAGTTCTTGTATTTTTTCCTCCTGCACATTACCCTCCTCCCTAAAACCACAACTACTACCACCAGTACGTTTACCACCATTCCCACCCACCACTACCACCATTACCACCCACCACTACCACCATTACCACCACCACTACCCCCATTACCACCCACCATACCACCATTCCACCCCCCACTACCACCATACACCCACCACTACCACCATTACCACCCACCACTACCACCATTCCCACCCACCACTACCACCACTTCTGCACACTTCTGCAGCCATCACAGTCATAGCTCTAGTACAGATGTAGTCGGGGAACCCCTCCAGGAAAAATTTTGGGTTTGCCATGAAAACAGATGGGGGTTTGGTCTCGGGATTGGTTTATAGAGGACTGTGTTCAGCCTAGGGCCAGCACAGATTAAGAATACATCCAGCACGAATTG